ATATATATATACACACACATATATATATATATGATGCCAAACACCATAGATTTTTTTCAGTCCTTATCCTTCTTAATCATTAATGATCATTTGCTCCCTCTTGATAGTCATTATCATGGATTCCTATGACATCTTTCTTCTTTCTTCTCATCTTTCTGGTTTATTTTTCTATTAAGAGTTAGATAAATTCCAAAATTTCTATTGTGATTTCAAGGCTCTCCAGAGTCGTCTCTGCACATATTTCCAACTTCACATGTTTAAACCTCACTCAGCCCTCTTCTTTCAAAAAGACTTCCCAGATTTCAAGTCCAGTTTAATTCTATACAATTATGTAGCTAAGACACGATGTTTTTCTTTGTAAAGTATATTGACAATTTTGTCTGTATGTAAAATGTTCAAGGGACTTAAGAAAAATCCCAACATTTTTAGTGAGAACACTTTGGTAAATCAGGCCTCCATATTCACATGTTTTTTTCCTGTTGTTCTAAATGTTTCATCATGCTACTCTGATTACTTTTCTGTAAGTCACTTATAACAGTTTCAGCATACAACTATATTCTTGAATTAGAACATTTTAAGACTCACAGAAGACTTATCACTAATATATTAACAATAAGTAAAAGTAAATACATATTCTAAATAATATTAGCAACTTGACATATTTAAAACTGGCAAATGTTTTAATAAACCAAGAGCATGTTCTCCTTGAATTATTCAAAATCATGTCACTCATTATATGGTTTCTATCACAGCCCCAAGGTAGGACTATGGGGCAGACTCTAGGACTATCTTCTAGAGGTAACATGTAATCAGGTAGGTGGGGGCACAATGTGGGAACCAGTGGATGATATGACTTGGAGAAGCCTACTAGGAGGTTGAGCCAAAAAGCAGTAGGGAATTTCAATGAAGGACTAACACAGAGTTGGGGGTGATAACCATCTGCCAAGTATAGGTATTTTATCTGCAGTAGATATATAGAATCCTTTTTTTTCACCATTTGGCTACTTGGACAGATGTAAATTAGAATAAAAAATGTTGTACATATATGTCTATATTACATAAATAATAAAAAGCCATATTATAGCCTTCATGAATTACTTTTGGGGAAGATAGTAAAAGTTCTCTCATGAACTAACTGTGTGTTATATACTAACTATGCCATTAGTGTACACATTTTTTTTACTTGTTGGATGAATGTACTCACGCTCACTTTCCCACTGCGATTGTCTTCTTCTCTCACTGCCAGAGCTTTCAGAAAATTTTCTTGCAGGTTTTTACCAGCACTTGTTAATGTCCTAGAAAAAAGCAGGTCTCCAATTATAATATATTAGATAACAAATATATTTAGAACACTCTGGGGACAAAAATTATGCTTCTTCATTCAAATGAGAATTTTCTTATAACACTAAAACTATATGTATATGTTCTATATAGTCATTATAAGTCAGATAGAATTATTATAATCTACGTTTCTCAATTTCATTTCATACAGTTATAGCCTTTATTTATGAATAATTGGAATTAAGTCTACAAGTAATATGCATGCATATTTCATGTATATTATGGGCATGATTCTCTCTCATCATTATTCATGCCAGACACAGTGAATTTCATTTGCATGCTCTTTTCATTTTTTTTGTCACAACATAAAAAATCAATACATTTACACTTCACATGGTAACCACAATGTCATTTTTACCCACAGTAATTTTACATTTATTATAATATCAGTACAATTTATTTATTCACTATAAGAAAATTAAAATACTATGTATGTAAGCCAATTCAGTTACTGGAACTAAGTATTAAGTTTAGCTCTATGACTGAAGATAATTAAGGCAAGAAAGAAAACTAGGTTGAATTATCTCTGTCATATAAACAGAAGCATTAAGAATTTAAGAAAGGCATTAAGAATGCCTTTCTCTGGAAGTAAATTTTAAAGGAAATTTATCACAAAAATCTGAATCCAGCCACACTGAACCACATAACGAAGAGTGAGTCCAAGAGTGATTTACAATATAACAATCCTTTCCTTATATGGCAGGCTCCCATATATTCAACCAATCTTTTTATTATTTGACTACTATGTACCAGGAATTATGACAGATACTAAGATGAATGAGAAAAATATAATTCATAATTCCTGCTCTCACAGTGCCTGTGGTCTCATAGAAGTGCCCGACACATAAACATTATAATGTCATACTATGAGATAACTATAATAGAGATACGGATATGTATCAGAGGAGTTAAGAGAAATATACTATCTATTCAAGCAAAAGTCACTTAATCCTAAGCTTTAAAGCAACTATTATCAAACGCACATGCCTGGGTTGCAGGCTCGATCCCCAATATGGGGCATGCAAGAGGCAGTCAATTGATGATTTCTCTTTCATCATTGATGTTTCTATCTTTTCCTCTCCCTTCCTCTCTGAAATCAATGAAAATATATGTTTTAAAAGATGAGCCTAGATTAGCCAGGTTGAGGCAGGAAGAGGTGGCAGAGGAAGAGAAGTATCAGTAACTACAAAGGAAAGAAAAAATAGACAAGTAAAACTGCAGGGCGCCCTTGAGTAATCACAAAGCAGTCAGAAAGTAAGTGCAGGAAGTGAGGGAGAAACTATGTAATATTAATGAAAGCTAACATTTTTAAAGACATACTGTTGTAATCATTTAGTTAAGGCCACACAGTTGGTAGGAGCAGAACCTGTATTCAAACCAAGGTGGTCTGGTACTAGAACTCGTTCTCATAACCACAGGATATGCTGCCCTTCCACAAAGACCTGGATGCTACTTTAAGGAGTATGAACCTTGTCTTCCAGAAGATGCTGAACCACAAAGGTCTTATGCAAGAAATTTAAAATGTCAAGTTTGTGTTTTAGAAAGAATACTCAGTAGCTATGAGAAATATAATCTGGAGGACAGTAACACTGGAAGGATTAGTTAGGGAGGTATTACTAAGATGATGCAGATCTGATTTAAAGGGGTGGTGGTAAGGAGAGGAAGGGATAGGTGTGAAAAATATTTAAGAGCTAAAATGGACCTGGTTATTTCTTTTTGTGAAGAATTAAAGAGAAATGGCTATCAGGTTTCAATAACTCAACATAAACATGTACAATATATAACTTACTAATTATTTTGTTGATCTAGAAATGCAACACTTTAAATTGATCATAATTTGTCAGCTTTTGGTTCTTGTTGTTGTTGTTGTTATTTGTGTTTTTTTAGCTTTACATGCCTTAGTTTATGAAGAGAATCAGATAATTGAGACATAATTGAGATGTTTTTCAATTCATTGTTCTGTCCAAAAGTGAGTCATCCATATTACAATATACCTATACACTGTTTTGATACTAAATCTCTAAGATATCAAATTTATGTTGTCAGTTACTTGGCCCCCAAAAAATGTATTGTTTCTAAATTGCTCACAGGATAATCTCATCACTTGGACAGTTTCTACATGATTTCCTGCTTATGGTCTACATTTAAAACCAGAATCAGTTAGAAATTCTCTGTGAAGTTTCAACAGAGAATTAGTTTTACAAGTGCATCAGTCACCTCACTGGTTTGCAGTTACAAGGACTTGTTTCTCAATAATGCTCTGCATCAATAGCAGGTTGACTGTGGCTCTTTACTTTGGAGGAGTGTTCAGATAGGCTGGTAAAATAGCCTTTATCTGACAAATCTTTGATTGGTGTGTGGAGGGAAAAGAGAACCTGGCCACACACTGGCCCTTAGAACAATTGCTTGTAAGAGAAACAGGTCAGTCACTCCCACTCAAATTTTATTGCCCAAGTAAGTGTCATAGCCAAGCCTGAAATCAATGGGATGGGAAAGCGTAATCCTGCTCAAGGCAGAGTAGCAATATTTATATATAGTCTATGTGCCCCTTATTTGATAGCAGTTAGCTAAGCAAACAAGATGAATAAGGAAAACACTTCTTGAGTGAAATTTAAAAGTACAGAAACTTGTTAAATAATGTGGTTCATTGCAATATAGCCAAGTAAAGACCTGTGTGAAAATAAAAATAACTAATTATAGCCACCAAACACAATGTTCCCTCAAAGACCTAAAACATTCTAAAATTATGGTTGAAAGAATAAAATACACTTCAGTATGTGGTCTTCTCTGACAGTGGTAGACACCTGTTGTTTTTGCCACCCCAACATCCCTCCACTTTTATTGGTAATAGAACCTTTATATCTATTTGGGCAATGCTCCCTCTCACATTCTGTAACTTAGTAGAACAAGTTAAGCAAGGTAACTGCTTACTCACAACTCTTAATCCCCAAACCTCAGCTAATGAATACGACTCAAGCCTGACCAATGTTACTTCGCTTTATGAGAATACACAGCATAAACAGAGACTCAGGATGAAAAGCTACTGGCCTTAATTCCTACTGCACAGCCTCCTCATCCAACTTTTTCTTCAAATCTGTAATAATCAGTGCTCCTCCAATAAATTCCTTTTTTTTTTCTTCAGTTCATAAGAATTGGCTTCTATTGCTCACAAACAAAACCAAAACTGATACAGTGGTTATACAGCTAAGATACTTCAGAGTTCTTAAAGGTTTCCATAGAGTAAATCAATCCCTTACCCAAACACACCTTGTTTTATTGTAAATCTCTAGAACGTTACAAATAAGTTAAAGTCCAATTTTATCATCAACCACAATCCCAAAACACCAAAGGTACCCATCAATATCAGCTTTGCATGCATCTACCAAGGTTATTATCTACTAGAGGCCCGGTGCATGAAATTTGTGCACGTAGCGGGGGGGGAGGGGGTCCCTCAGCCCGGCCTATGCCCTCTCGCAGTCCAGGAGTCCTCAGGGGATGTTCAACTGATGGCTTGGGCTTGCTCCCCCTGGACATGCGGCCTGCAGTTGGACATCCTTAGCACTGCTGCAGAGGCGGGAGAGGTTCCTGCCACTGCCACTGTGCTCCCCAGCCATGAACCCAGCTTCTGGCTGAGCGGCACTCCCCTGTGGAAGGGTAATGACAGGTTGTTCTGCTTTTCAGTCAATTTGCATATTAGCCTTTTGTTATATAGCATAGTTTACGTATATATTTGTGTACCCATAAAAACATATATAGCATTATTTGGCTCTTCACTTCATTATATAATTTTTAGCTTACTGTTTCATTGCATTGTTGTTATTGTTCCAGAGAATCATTTGTTAGAGGAAGGTCAAAATTATCCCAGGGATATTAGACAACAAAAGCCAAAAGAACAGGTTTCTAGGTACCATTCACTCATAGGGAAGAAATTCTTACTATGCCGCCAGGCCTGGCTCACTCACCAATGGCTGAGGTTTTTAAGAAATATCTGGGCAAAGAGGAAAAGGAAGTAAGAGCAGTAGAATTCTTGCTGCCTCTGTACTATAACAAACACTGTTTTTCTTTCTTCCATGAAAATGAATGTTTCATTTTTTACCTGGACATGTAGATTTCCAGAATAAAGACTACATTTCCTAGCCTGTCTTGCAGCTTATTTATATCCATATGACTAACTTTTCCACAATGGTATCTTAGTGAAAATTACTTATAACTTCTACAAAGTGTACTTAAAAGGGAAGGGTCCCTTCTTCCTAGAGTTGGAATGCAATATAATGATTGTTGCTCCAGCTACCACCTTGACTTAAATTGGGGGCCACTGTTATGGATAATAGTGGATTCCCGACACCTCAGAGCACCAACACAGCCTTGACTGACACCATTGCATTTCTGGAATACAAGACTGAAAGGAGTTTAAATTTTGTTTCAGCTACTGTGCTTTTGGATTTTTCTATTATTTTTAACTAAATCTAATCTAAACAGGTACATTCACCATATGAAATTTGCTCACCCTTCAGAAAAAGATGCTGTTGTGGAATTGACTTGGTAATCAAAGTGGACTTGAACCTTATCTGTAATATTGTAAGGATTCCCCAGGAGACTATATGACTTATATAATTAAAATTAGTTATTTTTAAAAGAGCCATAAGTTAAACATTTTAAATGGAAACATGAAATAATTGGGAATTAAACTGAAATATAAGATGAGACATCAGTCTTTAATTCCTATTTCTTTACCAACTCACTACATTCTTCTGATGGGCTCAACAATTTCTAAGCCCCTAGCAGCAGTAAAACTTGTGAATGAAAATGATCATGGTCTATCATCAATTGCCAATCATATAAATTTATAATCAGTCTAAGAAACGTGACCATTATACTGACAATACTTTAAGATTATACTGTTCCTCTTTTACTATTATAAAAGTTTTACATACACAGACTTACCTTG